TATAGAGTTATATAGAGTTATATAGAGTTATATAGAGCATAAATCCTATATAGATACCTTTCTTTGCTCTTCTTTTCTCTTTTCTTTGCCGACCGGTCCGTTTTATTTCATTTAAATTGAATAAATAAGATTTTTCCATTCATTTAGGTTTTTCAGGTTCATTTATCCAGGTTGAAGTTTCCAGAGGAGTTCATCGTGGACGATCAGATTAGTTGTGATGTCACGCTACGTTCGTTCATTCGGTGGCAAAGAATGCACGCCCTGCTGGGGTACGTTTTACGGTTTCTTTGCGGTTCTTTTTTTGCCAGTTGGGTGGCTTTTCCGGCGGGTTTCACCGCGGCTCGTTTTTCTATTTTCATTTAAATTAGTCAAATAAATAAGATTTTTCCTTTTCATCTATTTCATTCAGGTTGAAGCTTCCAAAGGAATTCATCGTGGAAGATGTCGGGCTACGTTCGTTCATTCAGTGGCAAAGAAGATACGCCTGGCTGGGATACGTTTTATTCTTTTTTCTCTGTTTTTCTTTGTAATTTAACATTAAGTAAGAATGCTCACACGCACACGCACATACACACAATTACATTAAGTAGCTATATAGGTAGGTTAGATAGGCATAATTTGAATTGTAGGTAGTATAGATAGGAAGCATCCAACACTAATGTAGTTGAATAGGTAGGCAGCGTAAGTTTATCTCTTCCATTTTTCTCGCACCCACATTACACGCATCAGCGTATTATACACACACACAAATACATACATAAACACATATTAGTATTTGAGCGTTATTTTATTTTCATTACACATTCTAATTTATTATTACTAAGGTTGAGAGTAATTTAATTTCATAGGTAGTTAAAAGCAATAATTTAATTCTAAGAACAATCTTGTAATTTAAATTAAATAAACGCTGTAAGTGTATCGAGAGGTAAGTTAGTTATTAAGTTTCACATTATTATTATTAGGTTGGAGCCCAAGGCATTACGTAGGTGGTGGGGTGGGTGCCGAAAGGCCAATGAATTGGGCTCTTGAGTTTTGTAATTTTAGGTAAGCTAGGGCCATAATGTAATGAATAGGTAGGTTAAGGTTACGTTGTAACACATACTCGTTAATAGATTTAGGATTTAAGTTTTATATTATTACTAAGTTGGAGCCCAAGGCATTACGAAGGTGGTGGGGTGGGTGCCGATTGGCTAAATGAATTGGGCTCTTGAGTTTTGCAATTTTAGGTAAGCTAGGGCCTAATTGTAATGAATAGGTAAGTTGAGGGTACGATAGCCGATTGACTCTGGATTTCAAAGTCTCTTGTCAGAGGTAAGCCTTGGTGGCCAGTGGTGAACCGGCAATGGTTTACTATCCGGACGGCAATGGTTTACTATCTGCACGGTAATGATTTACTATGCGGCATGGCCATAGTCTACTACCCGCACGGCTTCCGGACGGCAAATGGTTTACTATCCGCACGGCAATAGTCTACTATCCGCACGGCAATGGTTTACTATCCGGTGCCCTGGCTGTCGGTGAACCTCTGTGCAAGGAGCGAGAATGATGGGGGACTTTCGACTATCGTACCATTAACAATTTAATATAGATTAGCTAAGGTAATTGAATAGGTAGAGAGGATTATTTTTATTAAGCAATTTGAGACGCAGGCACCGCTAAGCTTTCTGATGAGAATCTTCTCTATTTTTCTCCCTCAACACGGGCTGTGTTTCAACAACAATCTTGAGGAGGACTGGCACCAGTTTTGGAGGACAACGTAGGAACCGGAAGGCATTCAACATTCTGCCTTTGTCGAATTGACGACGGTAAGTTATTTTTTACATTTGACTCTCTTTATTATTTTAAAATATTATTTTGCCATTATTTTCATTTTATAATTTTTTGCTTCTAAGATTCTAACATTCATTTACTACTACGCAAATAAAAAAATTTTGTTTACAGAATGATGAGAGGTGGGCAGTGGTGGGAGTCAGCACGTTTTATATGGTGGTCTCATGATGATTTACATATGATGATGGTGGTGTAGGAAGAATCAGCTCGTTGGCTGTTCGACTGACACTCTGAAGTTCGGATGGCATTTTGTGTGCCGACCAGATGGTGATGGTCGGTGCAATGGAAAGTACAGTAACGACGATTTCTGAAGTAAGGTTTAGTTTCGTTTTTTATTTTTCTCATTCGTTCATTTTATCACTCAACCTTTTAAATTATTATTCTATTAATTGATTCGTTAATTCATTCTATTCATTAAATGAATCATTGTTTTATTAATTCATTCATTCATTCACTCATTCATTCAACCAATTATTCAATCATTCAGTTAATCATTTATTCGATCGTTCCTTTGTTCCTTGATTTACTACTTCGCTAATTAATAACTTGTCTACCGAATGATGAGAGGTGGGCTGTGGTGGGCGTCAGCACGTTTCAGATGGTAGTCTCATGATGATCATTCCGATGACAAATCGAAGATAACAACGACGGTTTTTGAAGTATGATTTAGTTTCTTTTTTTTATTTTTCTCATTCATTCATTCATTTTATCACTATCTTTCAAATTATTCCTCAGTTAATTTATTCATTGATTCAATCTATTCATTCATTAAATCATTGGTTGATTAATTAATTTGTTAATTTATTCATTCAACCAATCGTTCAATCATCCAGTTAATCATTTATTCGTTCGTTCCTTTGTTTCTTGATTTCCTACTTCGCTAATTAATAAAAACTTGTCTACAGAATGATGAGAGGTGGGCTGTGGTGGGCGTCAGCACGTTTCAGATGGTAGTCTCATGATGATCATTCCAATGACAAATCGAAGATAATGTTAAAGGTAAATTTGTTTTTGTCTCATTGTACCTTTGAAAGTACTCGAATTTGAACAAAGATTGAGTGTTATCTCAAAAAGATAAGTTGCCTATTTTTTCCAATTGCTTGTTTTTTAATTTAGTGAATTTTTTTTTTCAATTTATTTTTCAGTATCCGGTCAAATTCATTCCATCGATGAGTGTCAGATGATGGTCGGTGCATTGGAGGTTCGTCGGTAGTGATTGAAGTTTCTGGAGAGTGCGCGCCCGCACATTTACATACACACACATCAATACAACACATACATACACAACATCCATTTATTCGGTGTCGTTGTTGTTATGTTTCTCTTCAACTTTGTATTTTCTTTACCGTGAACCGGACTTTAATTTAATTCATAGGTAAGTTAGGGACTGAGATGAGTTAAACAATTGTAGGTAGGCTAGGGCTTAACATTAGTTAAAAAGCTTCAAGTTAAATAAAAACGCTGAAATATGTTAAATATAATACTTGAAACATCTAAAACGAGAAATACAAATTTGTAAGTAAGTGGGTTGAGTCAATGTTTATAAGTAAGCTAGGGCCCTGAGAGTAATTTTATTATAGGTAGGTGACTGACTATTATTCTTGCGACTTCTTACTAGTTTTGTGTGATGTGTTTGTTTTCGCTTCACAACACCACACCAACAAAACAAACTACATTTTATTCTCGTCGTCGCCTTAAATTGTACCTTTTTGAACAATCTTTTTAATGTCTTTTTATTTATTCATTAAATGTTGATTGGTTTCTAGTTTTTTTTAAATTGGTTATATAATTTTTGGATATTTCTTGATTTACTTTGTATATATGCATGTATAAATTATTTCTGTTTAGTATGTTGATTTAGTCATTATGATATGTTGTGAACTGTTCTTACTAAATGTTCATGTTACGTGGTTTATTATCCTTCGAGAACTTCTAAGGAATGTGTATGATAATAATAATAATGGATAATAATTATTTTTATCGGTCGATATTTTGTTATATTTGTTTATTTAAAATACGAATTTTTAAAAAAATTGTCATTTTAAAATTTTAATTAACCGTCACTTTTCATTTTTGAATGAATTCAAATAAAAGCAACTACTGTGTTTTTCTTTCTTTACTAAAATCTCGAAATTGTTTGTAGATCTGTACGGTTAACTGTTTGTTCGAGTTTGAACAGGCCTTGCAAATTTTTTTTATTTATTTTTGTTTTTATTTTTGTTTATTTGGTTCATTCAATTTAGTTGATTGATTGATCGGTTGATTGATCGGTTGGTTGATTGATTGACTGACAGAGTGACTGGCTGGCTGGCTGGCTGACTGACTGACCGACCAACCGACCGATTGATTGATTTATCTCATAATATTGTATACATGAGAAAAAATTCGATTAAGCCAACCTACGGCTTCAGTAAGCCACTATTTTTCACTTGACAAAAGCAATTTCTATATTTATACTGACAAAAATAATTGTGATATGAATATATTGATTTATTAAAAGCATCATATGTACAAAAAAGTGCTATCGTAAGAGTTCTATGAAACCCTGTAAGCCACTGCTGTAAGCCAACGTATGATTTCAGCAACCAGTTTCTTATGAGCACCAGCAGAATGTAAAATATTCATTGAATATAATGAAGATAGTTGTTCAAATAACAATTTTGATTTATTTAGGTCGTTTATTTCATAAGCAAACCAATTTTTAACATGATCGAATAGTGTAAAAAAAGGGTGACTATAGTTCAATCCTACTAAGCCAACCTTCGGCTTCAGTAAGCCACCGGATTTCACCGGGCCAAAAGCAATTTTTATATTCAAATTAACAAAAATAATTTAATAATACATAATTCTATTAATCATTATTAAAATTAAATAGAATTACTACAATGTTTTAAGCATATTAAATCAAGTAAATATTTCATTTAGCTTGCTCGTTAAAATCCATGCAATTTCGTAAGCCAACAATCCAAGCAAGACAAATATCCCGACCGATAGATCGAATTGATCGATTAGTCCTATTATTCTAGTTATGTGGTTTGGAGCAAGGGGAGACATTAATGAAAATAATTAAAAATTGAAAAAATTGAGGTTTTTTTGCATATCCCTGCTTCAACCCATAAGAAGGTGTTGTATGCTGGTAAATAGGCCTCCCCTTATCTAGGACACCCTAGCAACATTTTGATTTCATTTACAACTTATCATCTGACTCACAACAATTCACGAAACTTTCAAAATATATAAACGGCATCTCTGACAAACTAATCCAAAAGAGAAAAGTTTGTATTCAAAAATTTGTAAAAATAAATAAATTTATATAAAAAAATGGATAATTATTTCATATGTTTGAAATTATCATCTACGAAAAACCGACATTTATATTAGGAAGAGCATAAACTATTAGATGAAAGCAGCGCCGATATGAACGACATCTTGAATGTTTTGCTGAGAGCTCGAGATGAAGATGGTAACGGTTTATCAGATGAAGAGGTGAGGTCGGAACTAAACACCCTACTCTTTGCGGGTTAGGGTTCATCTGGTTATATATTTGGTGTGACGCTGCAGTTTCGAAGGCAATGGTCTCACCCTACCACATGCAATGTGCGCGATGCGCTGGTTCACGGGTGTTCACGTACACTGTGTGTTTGTCGCTGATACCTCAGTAATAAATTGTAAAAAATTTTCAAAGATGTTGTACACGCACAGAGGATTATCGATAAATTGATTATGGTAATGACAATTTGGGGTGTTAATTAGAAAACACTATTGATGAAAATTTCAGTTTTTGGTGTTTATTGGAAATTTTGTGTATGAAAATGTTTTTTTTTTAGTAAACCATCAAACGCAATCTTGCCACAAGATAATTACTTCGAAGTATTTTAATTATACTTCTTCGGAAAACAAAAGTAAAAAGTAATCTTAAAATGTTTTCAGGCCACGACACAACGGCAGTTTCAATATCATGGGCCTTGTACAATCTGACCAAACATTCTGAGTTCCAGAGACAATGCCAGGAAGAAATTGACGACGTGTTTCATGGCAGAACCACCGATGACTTCAGCCAGTAAGAAAATTTATTTTTAAAGTCCAACTTTCAGAAATTAGGTTGCAGTTTCAGTTTCAGTATTGAAGTTTCTAAAAAATAGATCATAGAGTTAACCACAGAGTTATAGAGTATGATGAAACATTTATTACTAACCACAGCGATGATTTTCTGAAATTCTTCTACCTGACATGCTACATTAAAGAATCAATGCGTCTCTACAGCACGGTGCCTGCACTCGAAAGAGAACTAACCAAACCACTGACCATCGATGGAAGAGAGTGTCCAGTTGGCTCAATTATTAATCCAATCATTTACAGCTTGCACCGCAATGAAGCCGTCTGGCCAAATAGTGAGGTATGATATTTAATGAAAAGAGGGCTCAATTTCTCATCAATATACAATCTTTTCTGTTTGTAATTCTATTTTTAGATGGTTTACGATTAGATAAGTTAAATATTTTGTTGTTTTTTAATGAAAATTATTTAATAGTAAATTCCAAACCGACAGAAATTTGATCCTGAGAGATTCTTTCCACAGAATGTTGAAAAACATGACCCCTTCGCATTCGTGCCATTTTCCGCAGGACCACGGTTTGCAATGAGAAAAAACTTTTTTAAAATTTTTTAAGACATGGTCTAAGACAAAGATTAAACTTTTACAGAAATTGCATCGGGCAGCATTTCGCCATGAACGAGATGAAAATAATCATGGCCAAAATCTTACACAGGTAATTGTGTGTCTGCACAAACCACAGACGTGTAAATTTTAATTCATGTAAATTTATTCTTCAGGTACACAGTTAGCGTGGTTGAAGATCATAAAATAAGAATAAAATTTGGCTTGGTGATAAAGACAGAGAATGGGATTTATTTAAATGTTAAGAGTAGATAAAAGGCAGGCAGACAGACAGAAAGACAAAAAAGACAAACAAACTGGCTGAGGGTTTTATTGGAGCACCACTAACCAAGATATTTATCCTTCGATACAATATATTCCTACGTAACTATTAACTTTATTTTAAATATTTTCATATGTTAGAAAACATTTAATTATAAATATATTTTGATGGTACTTAAGTGAAAAATTAGAGTGGTCAGATAGATTCTATAATAAAATATGCGTGTGTGTTCCTCTGTTTACAAACTGTCATTCACAATCTTTAGCCAATTTCCGAAATTAAATTTTGTATAATAAATTGAAGATTAAATAAAATTACTGTTGGAATCGTAATAACAAGAATTATTATAACTTGGTTAACTAACCATAACATGTTTGTTAATAGCAATTCTGACGTAGCTTATCTATCTAACTATACTTATCTTAAAATACACAATGTATAAGAGAGAGAGAGAGAGAGAGAGAGAGAGAGAGAGAGAGAGAAAAAGGTTACATTTTATCATTTGATATACAATGTAAGTTAATAACCCTTTAAGAAATAGGTCAATCCATGAATCATTCATACATGACCAATATAATTAAGGGTTATTAACATACATTGTAAATAACGTGTAACCTTCTCCCCTATCTCTCTCTCTCTTTCTCTCTCTCTCAGACACACACACAAACACACAAAAATACACACACACATATCTATATATATATATACATAGAGGGAGAGGCGTTCGAACCAAGTAAGTTCAAATTCGCATCTGCTATTTCTCTATTTATTTTTGGTCTTTATTTTCTGATGGGTCCATGAGTTAACACTTCAGTTCGTTTTTTAATAAGTCAGAAAGTAAGTATGTATGTGTATATGTGTATATGTATGTATGTATGTATGTATGTATGTATGTATGTATGTATGTATGCATGCATGCATGCATGTATGTATGTATGTATGTATGTATGTATGTATGTATGTATGTATGTATGTATGTATGTATGTATGTATGTATGTATGTATGTATGTATGTATGTATGTATGTATGTATGTATGTATGTGCGAGCCCTTGGTTAAAAACAATAGCCATAAAAACTATCATTTCGCCCCTGCTCAACAGATAATATTAGTGTACAGGGTCTCGCACAGAAGGGCACTTAGCAATGTTCTCT